TTACCAAGACCTTACCCCTGACGCAATACATTCTTGGGCATTGCCATGAGCAAGATATCAATGAAGAATCAGAAACCCGTGGGGCTTTGATTAGAGGCAAGTGCATGTATTTCACCAGTTATTGATTCCAAGATTTTTGCTGGATTTCGAATTTAAGAGATTTTTTATTAAATTTTTCCCTCAACAGAATGTGATCAACATGATAATACATTTTTTCAATTTTCTGAGAATTCAGCATGTAACTTTTACTTGGACTCACTATTGAAATGAATTAACCAAAAAAGATAGAGAATAAAATTTAATGGAAAAATATTTTGGACAGATACATTTCTCAACCTTAAAGAATCAGGAAATAAACATTAAGAAATTCCTATATCTGGTTAAACAAGACATTAATTATTTTTGTGTAATCCTCAGTTGCACAGATAACATTTTGATTCAAGTATTTTAAACGAATATAGCTTCAGAAAATTTATCTGATTCTCCTGCAGAGTATTTTTGGATATATGTTGTTGAAGTTTCCAATAGACAAAGCCATGCATTCAGAAGCCAGATACCTGAAAATAAATTAAAAGTTTGTGAATTTATCAACCAGAAGACTATTCTTACAAGCACATTTTCATAATTAATTTAATTTCAATAAAGGTGGACTTTATCAACAAAACTATTGTCAATGAAAAGTTCCTCTGTACAAAAAATTTTTTTGTTCCATAGGGTTCTCTTGCCATGTTATAGGGGTTCTCTGCAACATTTTGTCTAAACAATTGTTTTTCTTGTCCCTTGAATTTGTTGTTGAGAGAGTCCACCTGTACAATTCCTTTTCAAAGAAATATGATTTACAGTCAACCCCTGCAGACCTCCCACCCAAGGGATGTTTGCCCAACAGACTGCCTCTGGACTTCTGGAGGCAGTTTTTCCTCCTGCCTAATGGACAAACTCTGACTATTGGAATTCTGTGGGTTCAAAATTGATGGCAAAAGTTGGAAATTTTAATTTTTAAATAATTTAATTTGCTACATATACTTTTTACATAACAGACCAGTCTGTTGCACAAATTAAGTCTGTTGTGCAGGGGTTGACTGGACTTTAATATTTTATTAATTATGAGAGTCTTTCTGAAGGTAGAAACTACCAATTAATATGTGGTTGCATGTTCTTTGTTTGGTTGTTTGACATTATGCTGAAAGTTTTCCCATCAATTTAGCGTATGCACAGGTCACAATCAAAATATGGACGGATGATGCATACAGTGCATTTGCTCCCAAAAAACTAAAACAGTATGTCAGCCAAATTGCTCCAAGGTTCATTGGCAGACATCAGCAGGACGCAGAAGAGTTTTTGGTGTATTTACTTCAGGGATTGCATGAAGATTTGAACAGAGTTTCCAAGAAGAATCTCCCGAAACTCGCCCCTGTCAGCGATAAACTCAAGTTCGTGATTTTGAAAAATGTATACTGGTCAGGTATTCATCAAATAAACAGAAAAATCGGCAAGAATGGCGCGTTTTATTTGGATGATCTCAGAAATAATTCATAAATATTTTAAAATATATTGTGTGGATCTCACCTACGGATTGGATTTTATTCAAAATGTTTGCTGAAAATTGGAGTTGTGGCTCTCATGCAAGAGCTGAACCTCAATATAAACTGAATTTCTGTAAGTTAATTATTTTCATGGCCCTGTCTGATTTCACTTGGAAACATTGTACACTGAAAGTTTTTTGCAACAGAACCCTTGACACCAGTGAAAAACATTAGCTTTGTTACATAAAAATTAAAAAAAAGGAAACTGAAATACCATTGTAGCTATTGGTTGGGGACCTCTGAAATAACATTTAAACTATTGGTTGGGGACCTAACAGCAGGTTTTTTGTGCAGGTTAACTCTCTACAACAAATTCAAGGGACCAAACAAATTTGTTGTTTGGAGCATTTTGTTTTCTTGAAACCCTGTAACATGCAGAGAGAACCCTATTGTATTGGGACAACAAAAAATTTGTTATGCAGAGACATTTTTTGTGGACAAATCCTCGTAGAGGGAGTTCACGTGTATTTGGATATTTTTTACAATGAGACTTGTAACAAATTCTACTGCGTTATTAATTTGATTGACTTGAAGATTTCCCCCTTGAATCTCAATGAAGTCTATATCTCACATTTCCTGGAAGCCTTTGTGTCTTGGGACCCTTCCGAGGAGAGAATAATTATAGTAGATTAAAAAATTAATCTAAAAAAAAACGTTTACAAAAAGC